ATGGAATATCGATAATGTGGCAATCTATATGGAATAATAGGATTGGACAGTTGAATTTTTACTGGATAGATGAGGAGAGATAGATAAATGTGAGAGATAATGAGTTACCACATTCCACATCACTGATGTTCCCTCATCGTGATGATAAATAACACTACTAAAAATTTTCTGATAATTAACTGCGTAGTCAATTTCATGACAAGTACATAGTGCTTTCAGTTTTGTGTAAACTCCGGAAAATGAGAACATAATCTGCGGCAACGTCTAAATTTTCTTTTAGAATATGGATAAACTTGCTCTAGAATAGAATTGTTGTTAATTCAAACGTTTCGTCCTTTGGCTAGAGACAATTTGAGTGCCTTTCGATTTAGTGAAGTCAATTGTGTGATCTATAATTAGCATGTAGTTCTTGGGGTTGGAACATACAGATACAAGGAACAAGAATATCCTAAATGTGTACAAATGTCTAAAAATCATGAAGTTTCAAACAAGCAAACTAGCTTCCTACAACCCATGTTGCATTCTAGCAGGCTTGAAAGTACAGATAAGCCATGAAACACAAGCAATTTATGTTCCAAAACGGAGGGCAGAATTTATAAACAAATTAGAGAAATCATCCTAGGAGCAAGAACGTGCCCTCCCGAGTTGGGATGCTAGCAAAAAATTGAACAAGAAAAGCAGGCAGTAGACATTTATTACAAGGTACTCATGGAACTAGTAATACATCGAACTCAGAATCTGATGTCTAGAAATGTAGATATAACAATATTTCCATGGATGATAGATATACCAGACATGAAAGGAATGTCAACATAAACTAGAAAGCAGTCTATAGACCAAAACGTTGACATACAACATTTTGATAACTGTCTAATGTGACAAGTCTAATACCCTATGTAATTAAAATGAAGATATCTGTCAAGCACATGAGGACTTGCTCCTCTCANAACATTTTGATATAACTGTCTAATGTGACAAGTCTAATACCCAATGTAATTAAAATGAAGATATCTGTCTAGCACATGAGGACTTGCTCCTCTCAAAATAAAGCAACAAAATTGCAGAAAATAGGCAATTCTTCCCTCCAGCAAACGACCAACATGTTTACATAAACAAGTTTGGTCTAGTAGCCTTGTATGTAGTCTTGAGCTTCCTGGTTGGTGGCCTCACTTTCCTGAACACCAAGGGGAACTTGATCTTCGAATTGTGGAACTGCTTGGTACTCTCCCTCTTGCAAAGCTTAGCTGGGATTGTGGCTGTCTTAATAATTTGAATGCAGTGGTGGCGAACTCTATGACGGGAAGCCATCTCAGTATACATCTGTTCAACAGCACCATTCAAGGTAGTATCACGGTACTCTTTGTACATGTTGTGATAGCCAGTTCTACTCTGGTAACGGAGCCATATGCCATAGTTCTTGATGGTAGTTGGGTTTTTCTCAAAAATCTATGAACAGAAAAATAATAAATTAGATACTTCTCAAAATATGTAAGGCCAAGAAATAAGATGTTAGAAAAGGTGAGAACAAACACTAAACCTCAATAGCATGGAGTTGCATTAGATAGGACTTAATATTTGTATTGAAACAGTACACTAGATTTTTGCATTAAAAAAAATAAAAAAAAATCTAGAGACATGCAATATTGATTGTAAAGCTACCACAAGTAAAAAAGTAAGTCCAATATCCAACCACTATTTACAATCATCAGTTCTAACACAGGCATCAATGATGGATTATCACGACAATGACCAAAGAGGTAGTTGCAGCGACATGTTTGAGTCAGATATGCAAACTCATGGGTGAGTTTTTCACAAGTGCCTTCTCAGAGCAGTAAAGGGCCAAGGAGAACAGTGTACAACTTACTAATCTTACGGATGAGAATGACTTTTGAACTATAATGTCAATTACAGCCTTATTTTAAAAACTCCTTCGACAACTTTTCTTTTATACTCCTACCCCATCCCTCCAACACTTCTTCCCCGACCCCCATTTCACTGCTCAAGCTTGCTCTTTTCTCCCTTAAATGCAAAAATATCAGAGTCCCAACTAGAGTGGCTGGGAATGCTAGGGGAAAGGATCATGCCTAAAACAGGGGAAGGAAAGGAAGGCGGGGCAGGGCAGATAGACGGGTGTGGGGATTTAAGAATGTAGGAGATGGAAAAACACAATGGGGATTTGAGATTATCGTATAGCATATAGAAAAATAGGCCGTTTTACATAAAGTCAGAAAGTTAGGCATTTTCCACTTTCTTTGCAACTTGGTCCTTATACAATTTCATCATCACGACACTTACATCCACCTGAATAGGTTACAAGTTCCTACCATGTCTACAGGTAAATGTCCCTTGAAAATGTGAACCCAAAATCACTTGAACAACCTATAAACAGGTCTACAGTTCACAACGTTAAAATATATTGAATTGCCAGGCAAGTTTTCGAAGGATTAAGATATAGCAAGTGTTATTCAGGTCGTTGACAGACGCGAAAAAAATTAAAATAACTAATTCACGCTATACCGGAACAGTAAAAGAAGCATATAAACATTCGATCATTTCAAGCGGAGAATTGTTAACATTGCTTCGAGTCCATATTCAATTAGTTATGACATTACATAAATTGAGCATAGAAAAACAGAAGAACAAGAAACATCGTAATATAACCATCATTGAAAATTGAAAAGAACAAAAGCATTTTCAATAATATCTTTGAAGTGTTCTAAATGTTCTACTTATGCAAAGAAAAAGGTGATACGACATAGCAGCCAACTAGGATAAAAACAAAACACAAGCATCAAAGGATCATGACATTATCTAAACCTACATTCTGGACTCAAATATATTGCTTTGGATTAAAACTCAACCATTTTTCCAAAAGGTAGAAACAAAAAAGAGTAAGGCGTTTGATATTTGCATACCTCGTTGATTGCAAGCATCTGGCCATTGCTCTTCTTCACCTTCTTAAGCTTCCTCAGAAAATACCTACATTGACGAAAATCAACACATCTCAAGCCCTAAAATTAAACAAATCAAAAACATGTGTGCCTATGAATATTAAGCAGAGAGCAGAGATCGTACCAAAACTTGGACTTGGCGCGAACCTCATTTGTAGCCCAAAGCTTCATGCGGTAGATCTTGGGGTGCTCGTCCGTTTCCGTTGGCAGGGCTCTCCCCACCACCTGGTATTGATGGAACTGAACAAAGTGCAACATGCACAAAACCGATCAATATTATTAATCAGCATTTCAAAGTCAATTTCTTCGAGCTAACGTAGACTTATAAACATATAAGCATAAAACCAATCAGTCGGATTAATAAAAACTTCAAATCCAATTTCTTCGATCGAACGCAGACTTATAAACACAAGCATATATAATTAGAAGCAAACCTTGTAAGTAACCATTTCCGACGGGTCCTGGTTCTCTCGATCTCCCTCTCTCTCGCTTGGACGTGGATGACTGGGTGTGAGAGGCACAGAAAGCGCCGTTTTGTGATTTAATTAATATATGAGACGAGGCGGAGTTAGAAGCCCTAGATTTGTAAATGGGCCGTTAACGGCTGTTGGTTACTCGAGTGATTTTGAACAACTTACAAATATAACTCAAAATGTGGTAATTTTGAAAAGAGGAAATTACTGCTACACAGGTATTTAGGATTCAATTTTCATATTTTCATATTCAAGTTTGATATTTCACAAATCAGGTTTTAAAAATTATTTTTTATTTATAATAAACAACATGTTTTTTAAGTGAAGATTGGAGAGAGAGAGTTTTAAATAAGTAAATTATATCTTCAATAACCGCCTGAAACCGTTAAACATCAAAACTCTTCCCATTCCTAAAAAGCCCAAATTGATTCTTACTCAAATCATACCATTTCTCTTCATTTTGACATCAAACGAAAACTCCAAATCGATTATTGCCTACATTATTCACGGAAGGAGTAAAGGCGGTGCTACGGTGAAGGTGGTGGAAAAAAGGGAAGGTCGGTTATCGACAATTGTGTTTGAAATTTTACGAACGATGAATAGAAGTTATGGCGTTAATGAGAAGTTGTGACCGGAAGCCACAATCCAACGCCGGTGAACATTCTGAAACCACATAATGATCCGGAAGAAAGTCGAATATGTCGAAGGAATGCCGTGAAGGAAAACTGAAAACCCATGGTAGATCACGACTGAACATGGAAAAAAGGGGTCGAGAGGAAATCCCTAGAACTCTTGTGTACCCTCGGAAATCAAAACCGAAGAATGTAAGGTTTTTTTTTTTGGTATTGTGATCATCAATTATTGATTGTGACCTAGATTTTAATAAACTGTGACCGAATGTACATGTTTGAATAAAACAGTTTCATCTAGGTCATAGTTCTTGCCCGATTTTCTGACTGCGAAGTGATGTGCATAACTATTGTTGTACGTATAATGTTAGTTATTACTTTATTGTGACCCAGGAATGGAAGTACATTATACTCGAAGACTCATGTGAACATTTGATAAGATACTCTCCCTTGTCTGACCGAACAACGAGGAATTCAAACATATTTTGTATGGCATAAAAAGACAAACTCAATTTCAAAATCTCCTTATTACAAAACACCCTGCCATATTGTACATTCCTAGAATCAGGATCAGACATTGTGACCTCATCTTCATTTGTGTGACCAACTGGTTCTATTATTGCATCACATATGTCAGATGATATGTCCTGCAATGAAAATAACTCGCCTCCAGATTGTACATTAGCTGCCACCGCAGTGACCACTGGATAACTGAGAAACTGCTGTCCGTTTTCTGCATTTGTGACCTCAATAATTATGGGATATTGGGAAGGATCACGATCTATACCTTTAAGTGTCATGTAAGACAAAACATTGCTGTCATTACTTATTCTAACTGGAGGTAGATCAAGTTTCAATCTGTAGTTTATTGTGACTGCCATTTTATTAGGATCAAATCCGAACTCTGTCATTACCGTATCCACAAGCTACACATAAGAGCAATTACGATCGAGCAACACCAAAGTTGATTCTTCTCCATACACCAAGCACACATGCACATAACCCATTGCTATGGAAAATGAACAAGATATTGTCAGAAACATATAACATTAAGGTCACAAGATACTAACATGCAGGTCAAATACAACGTGGAGAATCTCGTATCACGTAACAACATTGGTCACAAATGACACATTTCGGTCACAACAATAAATTTCTGTTACAAACGAGTCCAAGGACGAACATCAGTTTTTTTCCAGAATCCACTCATGGTCACACATATAAATTCCAGTCACATAGATGTTCTGTGATGCATGACATAAATTGTTTGGCTCAAAAATCCCGTAATATGTGACTGTCAACAAAAATCAATTCAGTACTACATACGTTCCATCACGATAACTCATGACCTGAAGGTTGGTCACGAAAAGACTTTGTAACCAAAATAGTGGTCACAAAAAAGAAATAGTGGTCACATAGAAAACTATTGATTACAAAATCCAATCATGGTCACATTGATAATATTCAGTAACTATTTTGGTACAGTTATGATCACAATCAAATAGACAAAACCACTAGGCTTAATGTTTCTGTACTCCACCATTGTGACCCATTTACAATTGTGAGGATTATTTTCGACACAGACAATCGTGATCGTCAATTAAGCAATTAATTACGAAAAAGGGAAAAGAAATACGTACGGTTGTTGTGATCGGGAATGCCGACTGACTTCAATCCGATGATTTTCTGAATTTTCTGACCTCGTTGATCGTATAATTCCTATTGCAGAGAACAATGGTGTCGTTCAGGATTTCTTTTGCTGTTACGAAATTGAAGATTGCATGTTTGAGAAGAATCCAGGTTATAAATTGTAATTGATTCCTTAATTTCAGGATGCGGTTAATCATTCCCAGTTTATATATATTCTATATATATTAAAAATATATATTATATCAAATTGGATCCTGATTTTTGAAATTGCAAATCATATGTTGTAGTTTTGAAATGGTGTAATGTAAATGTCTGAGAAGTGTATTGTTCCCTTTTGAAAAATCACGTGAAATGATTTGAAAATATAAAAAAAAATATGCAAAGTTAAGTGAACATACAATCTCTTTTTTATTGGTTTTAATTAAAATTGATGTATGTCACTTTTGCACAATGTCATTTTCTCAATCACAAAAGCTTAATTTACATTTAACGCAATATAAAATAAATTAACATCTAAAATAAATTAATATAAACAACTTAAAAGTTCAGCCAAATATTGTGTTTGAAATTTTAATTTAAAAGCAGCACAACACGTTATGTCACTTTTTAATTAAAAGTTCATAAACAATGTAACTTTACTTTTCTTAATAAAATCTTTGGCAAGAAGAATTTGTAGGAGAACGGAACGAGGATATACGACACGATATGAAATATTGATTACAATAACAAGATGAATACAAAGACAAGAATTTAATTTGACAGAGAAATTGAAGATTTTATTCAAAAACTATAATTGAGAGAAAATACAATAATTATGCTCATACACAATGATTCTAACTTTCAATAACAAAATAGCCCGTAAAGAAGAGACAACTATATATAAAGAACATATCAAAACCCTAACAATATTCTTAAAGATGGAAAGAGTATAAAAAACGGATGGAATAAATGAAATAATATTTTTTCCAAAAAAAAAAAAACCAATCGAATTTAGGTCACAAACCCAACAATCTCCACATTGACACAAATTTCATTGCAATAAAAGAAACTCCAAATTTTTTCCATCTGGAGCAAAAATTCGACGACAAATAATGCACTGAACTCTTCTACAAGAACAAAACTAATTTCTCCAACGAACAAGAAATTATCCACCTCTTCCACAATATCCAACTAGGATAAATGAATCCAAGCACTGCTCCGTAAAATTACCTCAGGTTAACCAAAAATCACAAATGATTTAAAAATTACCAAACATGGCTGAAACACACCCTGAAATAGAATCAACACCAAATGCATTTGCAGAAGACCCCTTGACTCAATACCTTTAAATACACTTAAAGCATGCGCAACAAAATCAGGATCTCCCGTACCTATCTTCACTTGGTCTGTCCCTAGCAACTGAATACGATAGTACCGCGGGTGGCGGCAATCGGCATTACCCACAGCTTCTGAACTTGACTGAATTATGTTCTTCAACATAGACCCTAAACCAAATCCTAACGATACTGTACCAAACTAAATATCCACCACGACATTAAACCTTTGTTGATTATTCTTCAACGATTCTGCACGACCTCGCAAGATATATAACTGAGACTTTTTCCACCCCTCTAATACAACTCGGACACCTTTGCAAACGTTCAAAGCTCCACCTTCACCAATGAACTAGTACCTTCAAGTTGTATCCAAAATTCAAATCCCATCCGGTTTGGACTCGCTGTAAAAAATAGCCAACATATCTCCATCACTCAAGTAGTTCTCCGTGACACTAGATTCACCTGTAGTTTTTTATTGTGTTCTCTTTTGATTTGCAACCAAATTTTCTATATTCTGCAACTTGTTGCAATCCCTTTTGATGTGTCCTTACTACTTGCAATAAAAAAAACTTGATTACTGAAATTAGATTTTGACCTACACATTCCGTGGCCACCATGAACAATAAGATCTTCTCCATCTCTTACCTCAGATCCAACCAGATACTTCATCTCCTCCTTTGAAAATAAAGTATCACCACATTAGTGAAAGTATCACCACTATATAAAATCTTGTTTATAAACGAAGTAAGTAACGAACATAAAAGGATTAAGGTTAAATCATAGTTTACCTCTTTCTAAAAATAGCGAGATGATCTTCCAAAGATCCGCTTTCTATCTGCAATGAGAATACAACATCTGTTTTAGGTGCAATTTGCTTATTAGGCTCTTAGTTATGCACAATTTCTCCAACTTTAACCTAACGCAGCTGCCGCTTTCTCTTTCAAACGTCATGAAAAATGTTATTCGAAAAATAAAAATGAATTTGTGAAAGTGTCTTCCGATCCTACGTTATTTCTCATATATCGACCAAGTTGAGGACATCTTATCAAATCTCAACAACGCATCATTCAAATCCATCTGCGCGAGTACAACTCTTATCTTCACTTGTCACAACGAGAATCTAGTGTTGCGATCCAAAAGTAGAATTTCATACATTATGGTAGCCATTAAGAACAAGGACCTCGAACAAATAACAAAACCAAAACTCTAATACCACTTGTTGGGGACGAAACGGGGTTATACGGCACGATATGAAACATTGATCAAAACAACAAAACGAACACAAAGTTAATAATTTAATTTGATAAAGGAATTGGAGATTTTAATCAACAACTATAATGGAAAGAAAATACAATAATTTTGCTCATACACAATAATTCTA